AAAAACTGATGGGCAGCAATCAAGATATGATTATTGGTTTCTACTTCTCTGAAACAAAGGAATATGAAAGAAAACCAAGACTCAAAGGAGAGACCAGTCCATTAAAAAAAAAAAACCAACCTCAAAAAGACTGTAACTTTTAGCCAGGAATTAGAACTAGATAGTGCCCAGCTATTGATACTGAATGACAATAAAAAGTCCGGGACAGTATGAGAGAAAAATTTAAGCAAACTTTAAACTCTAAAAAAAAAAAGGCCAAGTTTACTGGATTAATAATGACATTTGTCCAAAGATAACCTTTGAATTTGCTATTGCAGCATCCCTAGGGGTTACCTTTCAGTCAAATAATAGATTGACTTGTAAACAGTGTCACCAATGGGTAATTTGTCTCTGAACAACTCCATGAGAACAAATGGTCAACATTTACCTCCAAGCAAAGAGGAGATGGCAAGGAAGGGAAGGGAAGCTAGATCAATGGAAAGAGAACAAGCAGTAGGGGAATAACAAGGATGCTGACATGGTGTGAAAAATGTTACCCACATGATGGGACAATTTTTATAAAACAATTTGTATAAAATATGTTAAGTTGAAACCTAATATACTGTAAATAATTTTATGCAAAACACAATAAAATATTTTTAAAAGATGAATGAAAGCTGCTGAGGAGAAAATTATATAGGGAACCCAAATAATAGAATAATTTCTCTCATTGCTCCTTCCTTTTACCAGAGTGCAATTATAAGTATGAAAAAACAAACAAACAGTGAGATCTAATGCAATGAGTAAACACAGTCGTGCTTAAATTTAGTAGTAGTTCAATTTCACTGTGCAGGTAATTCAATTTATCTTTCTAGGGCTTAGCATACTTTAATCAAAAATTATAAACAATCAGCCTGTTAGCAAAGTAATTAACACATGAAAACACTGTCTAAGTAAATCCACAGGGGGGAAACACACAAAACCCATACTTTGTATCTATTAACATCTTTTAGATTAGTGCCTAACATATAAACACAGAATTGTTATCTACAAATTTGAGGGATGATCAAATCTTGAAAGACCTCTTTGAAAATTATGTAGCAGCTAAAGTGCCTTCTTCCACCCCAGTCTTTTGCTGTTGTTTGCAAGTAAGAGAATGGTTTTCAGAAAACAATTTTACAAGGCGCTCTAAGTGCTTTTATATGTCATATATGCCTGCCAGTAAAATGAGGACAATAATCAGATGTGCTATATTTCACTCATGTTACCTGAAAAACCTTGAGAGAAACAGATGGAATGACTCCTATTGGTCTAGGAAATCCAAATTTCAGGGAAAAGTAGATAATCTTTTATTTGACACAATAAGCAATACAATATGCTCAGTTGTACACTGAGATGGAAAGAAACATCCCTTCCAGACCAACTACCATTTCTACATGTGCATAGTGTAAAATATTTGCAGACAGATAAAGGGAACAACAATCTAATCAGGAGCAATTCATATAAAAAAAGTTCAACTGCTCGGTTAAGGTCTTCATTTTAGCAATCACGTGCTGCCAAATCTAATACAATTCAATGTCTTTTTTAGCAAGATACAGGCCTGCCAGGTGCTCAGAAAACTATCAGCTACTAAAACAAACAAACAAACAAACAAATAAATAAGCAAACCATAAGTTGTTTGTATTTATCTGGTTGCAAATAGTTGAACACTATCCTGACCAAGTTGGCGGCAATAACCATCTTTTATTAACACACATTTAACGGGATTTAAAATATTCATAGGAAATGCGTATTATTAGTATTTGGCATCAGCACATGAGACTTTAAAAAATGCATGGCACTGGATATTGGTGGCACACAGATGGAGATGACAAATTATTTGGGGGGAAAAATCTATTAAAATTCCTAACAGACCCATTTTTCCCATTCCTGAGAATTTCCCTTTGTACCCAGATATCTGTGTCTCCGGCTGTAGCTCCTTTCCCGCCTGGATCTCTCCTATAGTTTCCGCTACACCACAGCCTTGATGAAAATCATTGTCTGAGATATCAAACTAAACATATTTCCATGGATGACCTATTGGGGTGTAGGGAAGTTTCAGGGCTGTGGTTGATGCAGAAAGGTGCCTGCTGATGGTATGAAATTCAAATGTGGCATGAGGTGATGTCTCTGTTTCAATCTGTAAGATGATATGTGAAATGTCTACATTGGAAATTGCACTTTGGTGAGCGGAAGGTGCTGGTCAGGATCAAGTGTAAAGTGCATTTTTGGCATAGAGCTGTCAGTATGGGTAGTTTTATAAGCAACGCTTTCAAGTCTTGACAGAAAAATTGCTTGTGCCCACTGCCAATCATTCAGTCTTTGTCAACTCAATTGCACATCCTCTTAGATTTGGCATCCATCTCCACTGACACCCAACATAGAGAGCACACTGTCACTCCGTCTCAGCGGGGAGCCTGCACTACTAACTTCACGGAAGGCCTTGTTGCTAACGTGGATGAAAGGCAAGGAGTACACGCAATGTAACAGGAAGGACGTGTTCATCAGCCTTGAGAGAAAGTGTGTAAATGAAAGAGGCTCCAGGAGATACAACTGGACTAAGTGCTTGGCTGCTGACTGAAAGGGTGGCAGGTCATGTCTATCCAAAGGCACCAGAAGAAAGGCCTGAGGGTCTAATTTAGAAAAATCAGCCACTGGGAACCAAAGTTCTACTCTGAAACAGTTAGCTCACCCAGAATCAGAGCTCACTTGATGGTACCTGGTTTATTTAAATAAAAATGAGGGAAGAGTTTCTTGCGTTGATGCATATCCTATGTGATCAAGTGTAACTAATTTCTATCTGATAAAGACGAAGGTTAAAAACGCTCACCTCAAACCCAGGAATCTCAAATTTTCATACATCTCTGTGTATGAAAATTCCAATCACATACTCCCCAATCTACAAGATTTTCTTTAGTAGCCTTTGTAGCTCAAATGACTAACTATGCAACTACTAGCCCAAAGGCTAACAGCTCGAATCCAGCCAAAGGTACCTGGGAAGACAAGGCTGATCCCAAAGATCACATCATTGGCACCTGATGGGGGCAGTTCTATACTGCACCCATGGGTCTCCATGAGAGAGAATCAACTCTGCGGAGTGTCGCCCTTTTTCTGTAGGGATGGATAGTGCAGGTTCTAAAATTAGGTGGGTTTTTCTTGCTGCTTCAACTTGATATTCTATGGAGTGGAGCCATTCACTTCCATAGTAGATTGAATAATTATTTTTAGTAAACCCTTATTGAGTAGCATCAAACATGTTGCTATAACTAAGTTGTTTAAAATTATCTTCTGTTGTTTAAAATTATGTTTCTTAAAAAGAGAAAATCTTTATCTTGAATACAGGCTCCCAGTTCATGCATCTGCATTGGAGTTGGCGACCACAGTGTTAGATTCCTCAGAGTGTATGTAATGTTTTCCTTCAAACAAGTACAGATGCCTTGAGCACGCTTCTGTTGAATGGTTCTGACTCATGGTGATCACATCAATATCAGAATATAACTGTGTGCTAGAAGATCCTCACGGAAATGATCTTTTAGAAGTAGATCAACAGACCTTTCATCCAAGGCACTTTTGGGACATGAAACATCAAGCTTATAGTGATCGGGCTACCATTTTAAACATTGGCACCCTCTTGAGTGGTTCATTAATGCTTACTGGACCTTGAGGGCCATTATTATACAGTATACCAAATAACATTGTGGAAACACAATGACTAGATGGTCCTGCCCTAAAGTGTCCAACTGGATCCCAAGGAGTAAGTTGGGCACTGTGGAAGAAAGGGTTAATATTACATATTATTCTTCTAGATATGCAATTTTTGAAAGCAAAACACATTCTTAAAAAGGTAAAAAGTTGATTATGTCTCATTTGATGTAGTGTCTTCACAAAGTAACATGATGAAGGGCACTATAAAAATATAACGATCTATTAAATATACAATTTATATATATATTTAAAATATCATGCCTTTTGATTAACGCCCTGCCTTTTGAAAGCCGCTCAGGGCCTTATGGGATATAGAGGCACCTTGATAATTGGCCAACAGAGCAAAATATTTTAAGTGATCCTTGTTTAAAAGACTTAAAAAAAATTAACCCTAAAAGCCTCTTTATACATAGATACACAGTTTCTATTCCCTTTTTGCATCTTGATTCAATTTCTACTTTGAAAAAAGATATATCCCTGCATAGAGGTAATTTTAATGAAACCAAATAGCACAATCATGCATTTATTTTATGTATACAATCTTGAAAAACATTTGTATTTAAATATAGCTCTTCAATGAAAGCCTGAAATATTCTTTATTGGTTGAATAAGATAGGATCAATCAACCTATCATTAAAGACCCCTGGTGGCATAGTGGTTACATATTGGGCTGTGATCTGCATCATCTGCACTTTGAAACCACCAGCTATTCTGAGGGAAAAAGACCGGGCTTTCTACTCCTGGAAACAGTTACTGTCTCAGACACCCACAAAGGTGTCACTATGAGTTGAAATTGACTTCATTGTAGTGACTTTGAATCTATCCTTTATAACACGCGCAGAATCATTACAACCAGATTTTATGCTATTGCTGTGTATGGCTTTCTTGTTCAAGTAAAGGTCCAATAGAAACTATATAAAGACACTCTATAAAGACATCTTAAATATCTTCATGATGTAAGGTTCATATTTCATGTTGCACCCTTAGAATTCCTTCAAAAGAGCAATCACTGTAACATTTGTTCTTAGAGCAAAGAATGACAACTTTTCTCCGGTGGGGTACCTAGATGCACCTGGAAAGGTAGAATGGGGTCATATCCTATCCTGTCTGCAGGTCCAACCTTCCCAGACCACATTTTTCTTCTATCTCCCTCCAGAATTAGGGTGCTAAAGATCAAGGAAGTAGAGAGGCTCATTTCTTTGCTTTGGAGAAATGGAAGACATTTAAGACTCCCCAGTGTGGAGGCCACTTGGTTGTGTGTTGTTCAGAGCACTTACTGTCCTCCGTGGTCCTGAATGGAATCCAAGAACTATGTGCGCTGCCAAATCCATTGGAGGCAACCAGCCGAAACTCATACACTGTGTACGGTTGGAGGTCTCTCACTTCATAGCTCATTGATGCAGAAGGATTGGAAAATAACCTATTGTGGGAAGAAAATGTTGATTTGAAAGTTATAGACATGCAAAGAGAGGCTGACAAATACAAATACCCTTGCAAACCCTTTTCATCAAATGCTAACATTCAATTAAGTGTTATTGTACTATGCCATGGAATGGTATCTTTTCTAAAATAAAGGACCATTTGGCTAAGGCTTTATAATCTTGTATTTATAGAAAAGCCTACATTCTGAAGTACTGACTCTGGTTGCCATGTGAAATTTGCCAAAGTATTATAGCTTTCTAGACACAGCTCCTGTAACTTTCCATTGGGCTTAAATATATGTCTATTCAATCCATGTACTTGTGCAACATTAAGTATCAAGAAATCTTATTTGAGATACTATCTAATATTTTTTAAAAGAAGCTGTATCTACAAACCAAATAATTTCCCCCAGGTTGTTAGCTGTGTGTGTGCTGTTGTTGTTTGTCAATACTTTAAAAGGTAACCTATATTCTTTACAACTGAAAACTGACCTATTCTTCACAAAAGTAAGGTGATGCAAATTAGATTTGCATGGAACACCCAGCTAACAGTTAGCACGATGGGTAAATGGGATGCTCACTCTAGTAATTCATGGGTGGAGCGGCCAGGTCTCATCTGGAGTTGGTATCTGGGAGAGCCGGGAGCATTGTTACGAGCTGGTGTAGACCAGACGACCTGAAGACTGGTTGGAGTGGCAGATGAAAGCCTGGGAGGCAGCAGGCCATCTGGAGCTGTCGACAACCACAGATGAATTAGAGCAGAGAAAACTGTGGAGAACATATGCTGGGTAGAACTGAAATGCTTCATATACTGGAAAAACTCTTCCTCAGGATGAACAACAGTGTTAAACATAGTCCATTTAATTTAACATTTTCGTTCCTGAGCCACTGTACTTCCTTATTGTTCACTGCAGCACAGTCACATTATTCTTTTACTCTTAACAGCCCGTCCCTCCCCGCCAAACAGCAAGACAAATTAATATGCAGCACATTCCACCTGTACTTCTGCTTACCTAATTGAAAACAGGTAGGGGATTTAGTGAAGCAAATATTAAAGTATCTTTTAAAATTAACACTTTGTTCAACAGACCAAGCAGACTCATATTGAAATGGGCCAGATCTGACATTCTTCCTGGCTTTCTTAGCCATTGTCATTTGAATCAGATCCCCACCCAATAAAGCAAATGGTGGCTCTGTGGTAGAATTCTCAACTTCCACTCAGGAAAGCCAGGCTCGGTTCCTGGCCTCCGTTCCTCAAGCACAGCCACCAGTCATCTGTTAGTGGCAGCTTCCATGTGGCTGTGATCTTCGGGAGTTTTGGGTGGAGCTATCTGACAAGACAGGCTAGGCACAAAGGCTTGGTAATCTACTTCCCCAAACCAGCAAATATGATGCATTGAGCCTGTGGTGGGTAGACACCTCTGGGGCAGTTCAACTCTGGCTAGAGAGGTCCTAGAATTCTGAACCCACTAGATGGCGGTGGGTTTCGGTATACCTTTTCCCATCTGTGCTTTATTTGGTCAGTTGCTTCTCCTGACACTGTCCTTCCTCTTTCGAGAATGCTACAAGGTAGGGCATCTTTGTTACTTTTCCTACACTAGTTACACCTCTTGAAAATCTGTCCTGAATTCAGAAAAATTGCTTGATATCACATCGTATTATATTTGAGTAGTTCTATCAAATCAACAGTAATAATGAAACTAATTCCTACTGTAATTTTTTAAATGACAAGAGACTCTGATTATTGAATTAACTTCTTCAAGTGATAATACTTGAACAAATCTAGCTGATTAGCATTTGTTCTAAAAGTAGTCAGAAAATCAATAGCACAGACTCTGAAGTTGAACAAAGCTTTATGTTTTAGAAAAAACATCATCTAACGACTCTGAAACTATTTTTTCATCTTTAAAATTAGATGATAACATTTCCCTTATGATTGTTGTGAGACAGTATAATACCTTATGGGGGGCATGGTGATTAATTTAGTAATTATTAGCTAATGTTGTTGTTAGACACTGTGCTGTTGGCTGATCTTGACTCATCATGACTTTATATGACATAGGATAACTTTTACAGCTTCTTAAACTGTAATAAAAAAAAGATCACTGGGATTTTTTCCATGGAAATGCTGAGCTTTGGATCTGATTCAGATGACAGTGGCTGAGATAGCCAGGAAGAATGGCTGATCTGGCCACTATTTCCACTAGCTGTCAACTGTATAGCCTTTCTACTACCAGCGCGCCTTTCGTATCACTAGTTCTATATTAAATATTTCATATTTAAGTATTATATATATGTGTGTATATGCATACATACATATATATATACACACACACACACACACACACACACACACACACACACACACACAGTTCTGTTTGAACCCTGTGGTATAGAACCACAAGGCCAGCAGTTCAAAACTACCAGCTGCTCTTTGAGAGAAAAATGAGGCTTTCTATTTCCATAGAGTGACACTCTTAAAAATACACAGGGGAAGTTCTACCCTGTCCCATAGGGTAACCAAGTGGCAGAATCTATTTGATAGAAGTGAGCTTGTTGATTTCTATTTCCCTTAGAATAATTAAGGTATTTCTGAAATTTAATTTGTTAGGAACATTCTACTTATTCTAATATAAATTCCTAATGACCAAGAATCTCTAGGGGCTCCTGGTGAAGAAGAGTCAACTGAAATATCAGAGTTCATTTTTGGCATATCTTTCATGTATGTACATTTTATGTTCTGCATTTCAGGAGAACCTATTTTTAAATAAGGGACTTATACATGATCAGCAGTAAGTTGGGAAACACTAAGATACATGCTTTACCAATCAGTTTTAAATGTTTTGAGTCAATGATTCTCTAATTCTTTCAATAGGCACCTATTCTTTGCATTGCTGGGGTGTCAATGTGCAGGGTTAATGACACTGAGGAAGATCTAGCCCTTGTCTGACCCACTGCCTCTGACCCATTGCCACTCATAGTTCCCTATCGGAGAGCTTAGAACTGGTCTGTGGCGGTTCTGAGACTAAATCTTTATGGGAGCAGTTTTCGCCCATGGAGAGGCGGGTGGAGTTAAATTGCTGACCTTGGGTGAGCTGTCCAATGTTTCCCCCATGACATAACCAGGATTCCTTGCTCAGCCTTAAGGAGCTTACATTTACATAGAAGAAGCAGTTCATAGGAAAATAATAGATCAATGACACCAGGTGTCTATTAATGCCTTGATCAAAATCAAGCAAGGTAAGAGGAGAGAAAATGACAACAATACAATTGTAATTACTGGATAATAACTTAGATATTATAGAAAGTTCATTAGGTGACCACTGGACAGAAACTGAAATGAAGCGAGAAAGGTAGCCAGGAGAATACTTAGAAGAGAGAACAGCTATTTGGATCTGAAGGCCATGAAGGCTTTATTCCACCCACATCATGATCATGGACTCTACTTTGAGAAGACAGCTCTTCCTCAGTCATATGTTGAGTGCCTTCCAACCTTAGGGGTCATCTTCCAGCTGACAGTGTGTCCACTGCTGCTCGTGGGGTTGTCAATGCCTGAAAATGGTCTGCTGCGATTCATAAGCTTTCTGGGGCTAATTCCTCAGAAATGGACAGACTATCTCTTCTTTGTGGGCTGTTCTTCGACTAGAAGCTCTGGTGGAACCTGTTCATGCTGGGTGACCCCGCTCATACTTGAAGTCCCAGTGCAATAACTTTGAGCATCACAGCAGTATGTAAGCCACCACAGTACAACTGACAGGTGAGTGGCTGGAGCTGAATTTAGATTCAAGTCATAAAAGTGAAGGTGCTGTTCCTTTGATTGCGGAGCGCATGGATAATAGAGCCAAAGGCACCAATATGAATGGTGGTGCCATCCCTAAGATGAGCAACATTACGACGGGATGAAGAGTTCTCTTTTGTTACATTGACAAGTTGTATCTTATGTATCATTATGTATCTTAAGGAAGATATTAAGGATGCAGTGCAGATATGAGTTGTGATTTTATATTTAAAGATGGAGACCTAATGAGATAACATAGGGAGTAAGTGTAGCCAGAGCAGAAAACATGTCTAAGAACTGAGTCCTATGATCCAACAAAATTTGCTATCAGGAGGAAGATGCTACAGAAATAAATAAACAAAACCAAGGAGTGGTCAGTGGAGGAGGGGGAAATAAAACAAAGAAAAAAGAACATCCTGGGAACCAAGTAAAGAATATGTATGTGTAATATATATTATATATATGAATAAACTGTGTCAGATGTTACTGAGATTGTAACTAAGACGACTGAGAGTTAAACTTTGCGGTTGTTGAAGTGGAAGTCTTTGCTGACCCTGCCAAGAATAGGTGCAGTGCAGGGATGAGGATGGCGGTCCAATTAGAGAATGCTGCTAAGTGAATTAGAGGGGAGTGAGTGGATCGAGTGAACATATAGAACTCTTTCAGGAATCTTGTTCTAATGATGTGTAGAAAACAGAGTAGCAACTAGAGAAGCCCATGGAATCAAAGGAAAGACTTCTGCAAATGGGCGATGTGGAAACAGGTTTACTGGTATGATCTAGTAGAAATGGGATGAAATGATTGTTTAGGATTCAGAAAGATTTCTAAGAGAAAATATTTTCTTCTAAGAGAAAACAAATGTCAGCATCAAATCCTTGTGTGGTAGACGGTGAGGCAGCTTGTGTACATGTAGAGTAAGTAGTGGGCTATGACATACAGGAGGGATAGTCACCGTCATGGGGAAGTGAACGCTGAGACTGAGTGTTCCCATCCAAGAAGATGGGTAAATAGGTTGATGAGACCATAACAGCACCCTCCAGCGGTTTCCATTGTCTCAGAGCAAAATAAAGACAAAGGCACCCGTCTTGTGCCAGTGTGAGGGTGAGTTCGGGGCTTGAAAGAGGGTGAGTGGTATGAGATTTTTTTTCCCCCAATTGGTATAACAGAGACATGCAAGGAAATGAAATAAAATTACTGATCAGGGCAACGATCAATCATTAGTTAACTTTAAATCTTTGAATTATAGGACATTCATTGCTATATATTAGGCATTGAAATTTTCTCTGTGAACTCCAGTAGCTTTAGCATTGGTCATTTCTTATTTGATACATATCTTTAATTGATTTATAACCAATACACACATAAATAAGTACTGCAAAAGCATGGGCAAAAAGTTAAGTACAATGTGCATAGAAGATATAACACTCCTATATGAAATCATGCCTCCTTTCTTGACTATGTTATGCCTGATAATCCCATCGATGATTCAAATTCTGAGTGAAAATCAGTTTTGATCAGTCATCAATGCTAACAATGTGTATTCTTACTAGGCACACAGAAATCCATTTGTGGGTTCAAAACAATTGTCATGTTATAAAGAAGGAACAGTGGAGAACCCCAAAGTAGGGTTCATGGGAGTCAAATATGGATTCTCTTCTGAGGGACACTGACATCAGTTCTCAGTTAAACGGATAACTCTAGATTATTTAAGGTTGCAAACTATTTACATCTGCATATAATTCTTCATCTTGTACACTTTCAGCAACACCAAACCCCAGAAACTTTTCTGTCCCCTCTGTTTAACCCCTCTTACCCTAGACCTATTCCTCAGAGGCTCCTTAGCACCAGAGCAATAACTGGGAACCAGCCATAATTCTACCCCTGGTTTCTTAACACAAGAGCCGTGTAGCTATCAGCTTGATATATTGCCTCCAAGATGTTCTGTTGCTCAAAA